CAATGATATACTTGAGATTACAATTGTGAAAAAAAAATTGTAATATGGATCGATTTTAGAAAGATTACTCGAATAAGTGGAACCAATTATTTTAAATGGCGCTGAATCTTTTCAGAATATTACCATCGCGAATTTTTCAAGATGTTGCAAAATTGTCCAAGTATTTGATCTAGAATCTCGGCGATGAGAAATAATAGTTCAATGATTTTTATAAGTGATTTAGAATCTTTACGTTTTTTGAGTCCTTAAGTACATGATTTATAAACAAAAAATATATATATATATATATATATATATATATATATATATATATATATATATATATATATATATATATATTTAACATTTAAAATAAAACGTTGTCGAGTAAATTTTTGGAGTGTGATGAAATATAATACTTGAACACATATAAGAGATAATTGTAGGTATGGAATTAGCCGATTCCCTACAGTAAATATTAGTCATTCATTGACCGAACATTTTGAAATTTTAAAAACATGTTTTATTCCAATAATTATTCTAAAAATGAGACTTAATTCCACTAAATGTGCAATATAAATATCTTGGAAAAGTTTTAACTGAGGACGGAAAGTGCAACACCGAGTTTCGAAGGGAATTTGGAATAACGAAATATGATTTGCAAAAGTATTAAGAAACAGAAAAATTTCGTCAGAAACAAATACAAGAATACGGAAATATTGTGTAATATATGCCCTCCTATATGGCAGTGAATGCTGGACAATCTCCTCATGTGAAGTAGAGGCTTGAAGCAATAATAACGTGGATCTACTGAAGGATGTTGAGGTTACAATGGACTGAACACGTGAGAAATGACGGGGATGTAGAAACAAAAAGAAACTCATATTTAATATCAGGAGACAGTTGAAATTTTTAAGGCACATATTAGAGAACGAAATCGTGTTACAAACTGGAGATCGCAAAATCACATAAATACAAAAATTGAAATATCCAGGAAATGTTTTAACAAAGGACAGAAAGTGCTTCACCGAAATCCGAAGGTTCATTGTGATAGTAAAATGTGGCTTCCAAAATCTGAGTAAAGTATTATGAAACAGGAACATTTCGTCAGAAACAAAACAAAAAGGAATATTGAAATATGGAATATCTGTCCGTCTATACGGCAATGAACGCTGGGAAATTTTCTCACAGATGAAGAATAAATGTGCGGCAATGGATATCTTTTGTATATAAGGAATGTTTGATTGCTTTGTTTGTTTAAAGGCATATCACCTCCTTCTGTATCATTTAATGCCGAAAATTAATTTTTATGAGACCTTTGAAGTAATTTCACAATTTTACTATGAATAAGCATTGTTGGTAATTACACTATAAATATTTATTATTGGCATTTTTTTTATATATAAAATTTATTGCTGGTATTTTTTTTACTCTGAAAATATAATTATTTTGTTTTTGTTTGTAGGTTCATTATATGCTCATAGTTTGGACCTTAACAGTTGCTAACACCCCGGATCAGACTGGACCTGGGAACAACAGCAATTAAGTGATAGTTCTACGTTCTTCAGATCCTCTAATCTCTCGACCAGAAGCCTTGCTGTCGGAAGTAGTTTATCGTCAGACCCATGACTAGTAGCTACAGAAGGTTGCTGTGAATAAGATGGACCGAATCTATGAGAAACGACGAAGTCCTGGGGAAAATGAAAACAAAGTGGAGACTTTCAATACCAGAAAGTGACAGTTCAAAATGATAGGGCAAATAATAAGGAGAGAAGGCTTGCAAATTTTGACACTCACAGGACAGGTTGAAGGTTACCAAAACAACGTAAAACAACGTGTAGCTAGCTATACGGGCATGTGCAAATGGATGATAGAATAGGGTTTAGGTGAGATAGCAAAAAAAAAACTAAAAAAAAACACAAACAAACAAGCTTTGCGAAGAGCTGTAAAGGATAGAAAATTTCGTTGAGACATGATTATTAACGTCCTGAAGGGACACTGCATTTAGAAAAATAGTAAATATTATAGCTATATTGAGGAATGTTTCCTTTCACAACTTTTGATTTTGGAGAGGTGGAATACAGACATTATGTCTTTATATTCTCTACTCGTTATTTGTGCTGTTCATTTTATCTGCTGTTTGAAGTTTTCGAGTGCTATGTTGTTGTTTTTTTTTTTTGTAATTTCATATATCTATTCGTTTGTAATTTTGTAGCACCTATCTATAGCGTCTGATGAACACAAAAAAATATTTTTTTAATATTTATAGATCGGTCTGAAGATGTATTCGGATGGGCAAAATGGCATTTCAAAAGCTACATAGAATATTAAGAGACATAAAAAAATTTCGTTGGAAAATCAAGAAAAAAGTACTAAATGTTTATGTGATATCTGTCCTCCTGTACGGCATTGAATGTTGGACAATCTCCTCAAAAATGAAACTTATAGTTACCATCAGGAAGATGCAGTTAAAATTTCTGGGGCTTGTAATAAGGAAGGAGGACATGGATAATCTTATACTCACAGGACAGATTGGGGGGAATAGGGAGCGAGGAAAGCATGAAACCTAGTTCCCTATCTAGTACCGCGCTTAAATTAATAAGTTCAAGATACCAAAGAGGAAACTGATATTTATTTGTAAAAATTACAAAATGTGACACAAGAACAAAATGGGTAATGGGAGAAAGGACGGTCGTTTTCTTTCTTAACATTAAACTTAGCTAGCCACAATTACTGACCCAAACATACCAGAATATATTTATATCGCCAAAACAACGCATTCTTACTTACCTTTCTTACTACATCCACCATAATAACTCATTGTCTCCTTGAAAGTCCTAACTAGTCCCCATATTTACAATTCATTGTCTGTTGAATAAAACAACAATTTAAAAAAAAATCTAAACCACAATGAAACCAAAGAGGAAACGACATAAGAACAATACCATAAAAATATTTATAGAAAACGAACGGGATAGATCCAGTGGGACAGTGACAGAAGCCGAGAGAGCGGCGATAACATTATAGGTCTTAAGAATCTCTCAATAAATAGCAAAAGCACCAGCCTAGATGTAACATCTGTTACGGTTTTTTGGGTATATATGTGTATATAACTAGTGAGCGAGTCAAAATGACTTATTTCCCTTTATAGTCTACCAATAGAAGATTAACCAATCAGAAGCTGCAGAACACTGTATCCGTCGTGTATTAAGGCGGTCATCTTTTTTTCCCTACCGGAAGGACCAGAGCCAACTTGTCAGGCGAACACGACAGAAGGAAGAACCACTCTGCTGTGATATCCATTGCGAACCTAAAGTACGCTTTCCTACTGTTTCCGAAATATACACTGCCAACCTCTGGATTCTATACTCGAAGACGACCGTCATGAAAATGTCTAACATATATGCAAAATATTACTTACCGTGAAGAAGAGAATCGAAAATAAAATATAAGGACAAAAAACCCACCCCACAAAATTTAGCGATATGTCTGGATTATATTTATGGAAATTTGTCATCATCTCGGTGCAATTTAGTTTCGACAATTTGATGTACAGACAAATAAAATGGATTGCTGCATAGGTAATCCTTTGAGCTCTGCGATGGCCAAAGATTTTGTATATTCTGAGAAAGATTTGCTTGCATGTTTTGAAAATTTTCTCCGTTATTACTGATCAGTCGATTACATTTTGTACTGTTGACAGTGAAGTCTGAAGTTTTCCATGCATTACTGAATGAATTGCTTCCGTGTATCACAATCCTACTTTTAGATGATTGCAGCGACGCTGGGTTTCCTTTTGTCTCGATCAAATTTAATTTGATTAAGTCTTTCGTTCATCGAGCCCTAATTATTTGCTTTCAAACCAAATTCAGTTCGGAAAACAATTTGATTGCGGAGGTTTTAATGAAAAACTCAACCTGTTGGATAACTGAAATAGCGTATTTTAACAAGGCCTATTTGTATGATCCAGAAATGTGTCTCGTCTATTTGAGTTTACCTTAGTCTTGTACTGGATATGCTTGGCAAATGATACAAAATGTGCAGCGTTGCAATCGTTCTGCCATTAAACGGCCTGTTGTCCTTTCCCAAAATATTCTGAAATACATCCATAAATAGGTTCTGCCCTTCCAAACACCAAGTTAGTAATTGTGATGCTGACCCTATTGGGAGAACTAATCAGAGGATTTACATTCTTATCGATTAGCACGTACCAGCTATGATTCGTCGAAAGCATGGTGAACATTTTCACATGCTTATCAATACATATATATTTATAACACTTAATAAATAATTCTATTTGTAATTCGTCTTTCACCAGGGATGATTCACCATCATCAGCAGATCGCATTATGTTTAGTATCTAATAATTCAAGGGATTATATATATTAAGTCCGGTCAACCTTCTCTCTCTAATCAGAAGGAATGGCTGCTAGGTCTGAACACAATCAGTTTGTGACTTATAATGCTGCTTACCTGGTAAATAAGTTTTCTTAGCCTATTCTTCCTCTTCGATTGGCTTTTGGTTATTTCTTTTTCTCATATATTTTTTCTTTTGTTATTTCTTTTTTATTCACTTCTATACGGCGAATATTTTCTTATTCTTTCTTACTCTCCCCACTTCCACTTTGTTTTATATTATTATATGTATTTATATCCTTTTAAAAGTGTCCCTATTTAAAAATTTTAATAAAATGCAACACGACAGATTAAATATAGAGAGGGAGAATCGTGTAAAAGACATTAAACTGTTTTACTAACAGCGCTGAAGAAATTTTTTTCTTACATTGGTCACTAAATTCATGAGGAATTCCCAGCATGATAGTGCATAATGTACACTCGAGAGAAGTGCATAATACCTAGGAAACAGCTGAACAGAGAGAAAATTGAAGGTCGTTGTATATTTTAACATGCAGTGTCAAGTTGTTAACGCCAATCATTAATCTCCACGGACATTCATTTAAATTGATATATAATTTTTCAGATGAAAAATTAGTATATTGAACACATAACTATCACACTATTCAGATAGATAGATAGATATGAACGGCCTCAAGTAGATAGATAGATAGATAGATAGATAGATAGATAGATAGATAGATAGATTGAAAGAGAACATAGATTGAATGAAAGAGAACAAAGATAGATAGATAGATTGAAAAGAACAAAAGATAGATTGATTGAAAGAGAACATAGATAGATAGATAGATAGATAGATAGATTGAAACCAAACAAAAAATAGATAGATAGATAGATAGATGATAGATAGATAGATAGATGAAACAGAAAAAAGATAGATAAATAGATAGATTGTAAAAGGAACATAGATAGATAGATAGATAGATAGATAGATAGATAGATAGATAGATAGATTGAAAGAGAACATAGATTGAATGAAAGAGAACAAAGATAGATAGATAGATTGAAAGAGAACAAAGATAGATTGATTGAAAGAGAACATAGATAGATAGATAGATAGATAGATAGATTGAAACCAAACAAAAGAGATAGATAGATAGATAGATAGATAGATAGATAGATAGATAGAAACAGAAAAAAAGATAGATAAATAGATAGATTGTAAAAGGAACATAGATAGATAGATAGATAGATAGATAGATAGATAGATAGATAGATGGCGCAGTCGTGAAACTCTAGTCGTGAATCGGGGGTCTAATGTAGACGTTATAAAGCGTTTTTTACTCTGTCTAGATAATCTGGGATTTGAGCACTTTACCTATTAAGTAGGGGTTTGCATTTTCGTCTTTTTCTTTCCCTGTACTGGATTCTGTCTTGTCTAAAGGAGTTATGTCTTCTGGAAATTTGTCTGTTGGCCACATCAACATTGTTGCTTTCTCTTTAGTAGATAGAGAGATGCATTCAGACCTTCTCAAGTTTCTTTAAATATTTCAATATCTGATCTCACATCTTGTTAATACTACTGCTGCTGCTATCACCTCTTCATCACTCCAAATTTTCCACCCTTTCACATTCGTAAAAAATAAAATAAAATGTAAATAATTAAATGGAGTAAGGTAGATCTTATAAGCCTTACAATTCATTAAAAATGCCTCTGTTTTTTTCCAGCCCTGCGAAAACACATCTACAAATGTACCATTCGTGCGTGCATTGAATACTGATGCGTGTATGGTCTGGTGCTCCTGCTATCTATCTCGAGGTTCTTGACAAAATTCAAAGAAGGATCTGCAATGTAATTCATTCTGACTTGGCATCTCTATTTCAGTTACTCTCTTACCGTGACGTGACGTGGTTTCCATCTGTCTTTTCTGCAAATATTTTCAGGGTAACTTGTCTGGCGAGCTTTTTCCCTGGTGTCCCGATTACATGAATTTAAGCGTGCTACTAAATTGGCATCAAGTCCCACCATTTTACCGATGAAATAGTTAACTGCTATTTCTACTCCAACAGTTTCTTTTCTCACATTTCCCTTGGTGGAACACCATTCCGTTAACTTGATTCCATGTTAACTACAATCTTCAAATTTTAAATGCAACGTCAACTGCCACCTTCTATCTTTTTGAATCCCCTTCATCTTTTATCAATTCCTGAAACCCCTGTTATCGGCCTTTTCTCTCATTTTCCCTCTCTGTAACTCCATGCGAACTAGTGACATTCCCGACTTACTAGGGGTGAATTCATTAAGAAAATCTTATCATCGTACCACAATTTTACTAGCCGTTCTTTTCAATTCCTTATTTAAATTAGTATAGGATTAAATTTAATTAGTGTTCCCTGTAGAATAATGTAAGATATAAAATTGCGCGTTAATTATTTTTCCTTTCAGAATATAATCACACACCAACATTATTATCAAAAAACAAACATGGCCGCTACCTCTGCTTACTAATGTCAGTTGAGTCTTGGATTTTCTGACTGTGGGAAATCGGAGTTACGTTAATGCATAGCCTACAAATTTAGTATTCGGATCATGCCAATGCAAGTATATTTTAACAAATATCTTTCTCAAATATCCTCAGATTTTCTTTAAAAATACTGCAAAAAAATTGCAGGTGTCCATTTGCTATCGTTTCTATTCGCCATTGAAATATATTTGCATTCCCTTGGCTCACCTTTATTGTATACCGAACGACTCATGATTTATATAGCTATTGTGTACCTTGGGTATATCTCTCGTTTCTCGGCAATTATTTTGGCTACTATTTTTTTGTGGTATATCAATCTTTATGAGTTATTTAATGGTGAAATCTAACTATTTTGTATGCAGTTTTATTTATTCTTTTCTGTTTTGTTTTTAGCTAATAATGGTTTTAGTGATACAAGTTTTACTAATTAACCAACAACTTGAGAAGAAAGGTGGATTCATGCCTTTCCCAAGAGAATGTGCGCATAAGTGAATATAAAGATCCCAAAAGGAATTGATGTTCCCTGTAAATTCGGAGAAAACACGACATTCCGATTAACAATTCCGAGCTATTATAGATTACACCACCCACACATCCAAACTTCAGTCAGTTATATGCCATGCATGATGCACGTTTAGGCGATCATGTACCTTTCGATACATGACTGACGAGGCAGATTTTTCCCCGCTGTTTGTTTGCCAGTACTTTCTGCGGTAGACCAGTCGCCATACAAATCTACAGAACACGGTTTGCTCTGCTATTTACCCATAGCTTGGTGGGGGGGGAGATGAAGAGGATTCATACCTTTCCCAAGGTCACTATTTATACTGTTCGGACTATCGTCCTCATCTTTGTTGCCATTTTTATCACAGCGTTTCAGCCGTTGTACGCTCCGGTCTTCTTTAGCTGGTTGGAATGTACCATATTTTCGGTGTATTGGGTCCATACTGATCCCTCAATATCTGTCAATATTTACGATGTTATTATTATGTACACTGACATTCCAACCAACTGAAAAAGGCCGGAGCGTACAACGGCCGAAACTTTGTGATAAAAATGGCAAAAAAGATGAGGACGGTCGTCCGAACAATGTAAATAGTGTACATAATACCTCATTCCAGAAATATAGACAGATACTTTCCCATGGGTATTAGTACGTAAGTGAATGTAATGGATTCGACTGGAATTCGAATTCGATTCCTCAGTTCGAGACGCTATCGATTACTCCACCTTCCAATCCATTACTTTCAGTCGGGAGTTGCTGAGTTTTTGCGGTATTGTTTACTTAACATGTCAGCGAAATAATAAACGTACTGCTCTGAAGCAAATTTCTACAAAAACTGACTTCGCTATGCAACTCGCTTTATATTGGCGCCAAACAATAGATTCGAATACCCGGATGAAGACCCTTATTTTGAATTCTTTGATCTAAATGAGCCAGAACTCGAAGTTTCGTTTATAAAAAAGATTCTCTGAACACCGGTGTTTCAACGTGTCCATAAATCGCGGAAATTAGTATCTGTTCTCCCTGAAAACATTCAGGCATCGATGGCGCTGATACCTTCCAAGCCATTTTGTAAATTGGGTCAGAAAATCTTCAAGATGTAATTTCGCAACCCACTTCTTCAGAGTTGAACAGAACGAGCACTTGTTACTTAATCCTTCCATCATTAGCTTCCGTTCGGTTTATCTCTTCCAGCGGAAGATGACATTTGCGACGGCCCGAACTTTAACATTTTAAAATTATAATTTCTTTTTTGAGAAAAATATAATAAAAATTATAAGCAAAATCCATCACTTGACGTTATAAAAAAAGACACATTGCAACAACGGTGAGGAAAAAAAAGAATACCGTTTAGATTTTGGGAAGTGAGTAAGGCTGAGAACTTTTCAAATAAGAACGTTTCAGTGTGTAACTATTTCAGTCAAGAAACAGGACACAAGAACGTCTTGCTTTTTGACCATCGTAATTATCTCAACTTTAACCATGCCAGAATTAATTAATTCAGGTATTTCGTGAATAAAGTTATGTTATTCTTTGCGACTCGTGCTATAATTTTCCTTTCTCGGTAATAATCGTAAATAAATAAACATTTCATTTTTCACTCCAAAAAAAAAAAAAAAAAAGAAAAAACAAGAAATGAATAAACAAAACAAAAAACAAAACAAATATATATTTGAGATAATATAGTGAGTCAATTTTGGCTCATATTTTTTTCAAGAAATAATATCATTGAATATTTATGTTTATATTTTTAGCGTCAATCTATCAAACACGCCTTACCTCTCCTTTGCTCTTTTCTGAAACAGTATTTTCCAATCAATTTTTTTTTCTCCACACTGCATATTTTGCTCTTTAACTTTTCGGCAATTAATTTGACTTCACTTTCATTTCTTTGCTTTGTCTAAATTCTGTCTTGCTTCCATAATACTTTTTCTTTCCTTCGACATTTAATTCCAACCCTCCTTCTATTTCCTTCCAATATTTTTTTTTCTTTTTGTTTTTCACATTTTTCCCCCTTCCAGACATATTTAAAACGTTTTCTTTCAAAATATTTTCATTTTCTATCTATCTTCGCTTAATTTTTCTTTTAGCTTTTGCCAAGGAAATTTCGGCCCGAGTTAAATCGTTTTATTTTCTCCTTCATTTTTTTTCTTTGACAATTAATCTTGCCGAATTTTTTGGCCCTTAATTTAAAAAAAAACAACAAAAAAACAAAAAAACATACAAACAAAAAAAAACATTAAAGTTTTGCAATGTCATCCTTGTCAATTTATTTCCCTCCCATTTTTTTCTACGTAACTTTTTTTTTATTTGTTTTTAATTTATTTCTTCTTTGACTTTGTCCACACATTTTTTTTACAATGTTCTTTTTTCGCTTTTTCAATTGCTGATTCTCTTATCCTATCCGTGTACCGGAATGTTTATCAACGATTGATCTGTGATGAGGTTGCCTCTATTCTTCAATGAATTACCTTTACCTTCAAAACGCTTTAATATTAAATGTTTGAGATAATTTAATGGGTATCAATATATATCTTTTTTTACTTACAAATTCAACGTTTTCAGTTTTCCTGATAATTAAAAAAAACCTATACAATTTGTAAAGAGATAAAAAGATATATTCAAAACTATTCCAGTAAGAGAGAAAAACCACACGGACTTTCAATTTCGCCTTCCTTAATTTTGATTGATTCCAGAGAAAAGTACAGGGAGCTTAAAAAGAACTAGCATGAGATGTGAACGACCATCGAATTCTACTGAAGAGCATTGAGAGTTTGCAGCCTTCAATATTTACATGAAGATTAGAAATACATTAAACGAGCTTTCACTCTTCTTCATTGCTATAGATATTTAAAGCCAATCGAGAATTGGTGGCGTTATTTGAAAATTAAAATCCAACTGAGAGCTCCAATATACATCCCGCATCTGAAGACTATATGTGAAGAAAAATGGAACAAAATACCAACTAAAATATGCAAATCATTAAGTGAGAAGTACAAGAAGATGTTGCTTGGTGTAGAAGTGAATAATGGCTATTCTACAAAGTATTAAAGATTATATATTCTTTTTTTTTAATTGTACGAATACTTTTTTCACACATTAAAATTGATAAATGGTATTTATTTCTATTAAATCAATTTTTCTGTTTTCTCTGCATATTTCGCGACTTTGCATCTGTGTACAGTTAATTATATGAAAAGTATGTTTATTCATTAATTGGCAATGCAATAAATTAAAAATGTGTATGTGTACGAATATTTGTTTCTCCTAACTGTATATAATCATTATCGGTTATATAACCAGGTGTGTCCCGTAGAATCGGTGCGCAAATGAGTACCAGCAGAGGAATTCGCTACTCACGGGTGGATTCTGGGAGCAAGCTTGGCGAGATATTCAGTTATAAATAACAATTACTTGGGTGCATAGAAGGGGAGGATCCGATTGATATCTTGCTAGAATAACTGTTAATATCCTCCGGTTTGAAAGCTTGTCTGACACATGGTCACTTGGCCAATGGCACCTTCGGGTAACCCTTTAGCCTAGTCCTGAGTTTTAGTCTACAATGCCATTCATCCAGCAACGTGTCTCTCTTTTCTCTCTATCTAACCCCCCCTCTCTCTCTCTCTCTCTCTATATATATATATATATATATATATATATATATATATATATTTCGATTATAGGTTTTGTTCAACTTATAATTACATGAATCATTCATACAAAAAACAAATATAGAGGTTAATGATTTAAATGGCGAATACATCTTTAAACAATTTCAATAAGATACACTAACCCCGAACCTGTATATGAATGATATGATCCCTGTTTATAAATTCCAGATTCATAAAGTCTTTTTTAGTTTTTACAAGCTTTCGTCTGTTCCTACAGATATTCTCAGGTATGGAAATAGTGTGTGTGTGTGTGCGTGTGTGTATGTGTGTGTGTGCGTGTGTGTGTGTGTGTGTGTATTTGAAAGACAATTAAATTTATAATTTACAAAATATACAATTGAAAAACTATTGCATTTATTGATGAACACGTGAGCACATGTAACAACATGGAATTTCGCGTTTCCATAACGGAAGTAAACAATATGAAAATTTGAAAAAAAAAAAAACAAGAAAAAACACGGATATTCATTACAATTGCAAATATTTAATGTATGGATTAACCCTTTGAAAAGTGGACATATAATCGCAAATTTGTGCAGTCAGGGACATTTACAGTTAAGTAATTGTTTTATCAATATAAAATACAATGCTATCAATGCTCTATTCGTAATGATGGGGACTATATGAAAATATATTCTTTTCAATATTATATACATATATATATATATATATATATATATATATATATATATATATATATATATATATGTATATGTGTGTGTGTGTGTGTGTGTATACACATGGATATACATATGTATATATATATTTTCTCTTTATACGTTAATTTTATAGATACAATTTATTTAAGTGAAAGCTCTGTTTTTTGTAAAACAGTATTAATTACATTTACCGGCCAGAATATTCACAAATTTCGTAGAAAGTATGCGTTCTCCGAGAGGAATCGAACCTGTATTCCTATACGGAAACCGTCATTGGGTCTGACGTGGTACCGAGAAGCGTCTGGTATACAAGTCCAAATTGTTGTTTATAAATAAAAAATTCGACTATTTTTCCCGAACTACTCACGAAACGTAATTTAACGTAAACAATGACAACATATAATAACATGGATTAAGTCCGACCATTAAATAATTGTCGAACTTCATCGATATATATATATATATATATATATATATATAGATGTTACAACAATAAGCAAAGAGACATATTTGATATTCTTATTAATCATATATATATATATATATATATATATATATATATATATATATATATATATATATAAAATATCCGATCTTTTCTAACTATTGGCTTATTAGCAATGTACTACTATTTTACTAAAAGTACTACACTCTCTAATCAACTATGAATTGATTAACCATTTCAAACCGCAGTGTCTTCTTTCAGATAAGGGTATAACTTTCGCTTCTATGACTCAACTATTGACGCGTGAACAATTATTGCTGAAAGAGTTTATCAAGTTATAGATAACAATTGTTAGGTTCTGGCTGTTGCTTTGTATACCACGGAGCCACTTCATAGTGTGTAGCGTAATAGTCTTCTTCACAAGTTGAATGGTTGTGGTATATCTGAGCGAATTTTTGAAATGATTAAAACTTTCTTAACGAATGGAATTTTTCTTGAAAGCCCATTAGATTGTTGTGCATTTACGTCTTTTAACCTGAATTGAAAAGGAAATTTTGCATATGTTTGACAGTTTTTCTCCTCCAAATATATCTTTATATATATATATATATATATATATATATATATATATATATATATATATATATATATATATGTCAACCATTCATGTTTTATGTATTCATTGAAAATTGCTGTCAAATATTATCTGGTGCATCTTTTTTTTTTTTTTTTTTAAAGCATTTCACCCCAAGCAAGGCGGGGAGCCACTAGGACGCAAGGGGTTACAGAAAATAGGAAGATCAGATAGGAGTGATAGAAGAAAGGATGAGGGTAGTAGATAGATTAAGGCAACTGGAGATGTCGATTGACATTACACTTGAATAGCTGGAGATTATAACTCTCAGGGAAACAGGAGAAGGGAAGAGAGTTCCACAGGCGAGAGGTGCGAGACATGACGGTATTAGAGTAGAAGAGACGGCTACATTTAGGAGTTTCGACAGTGAAGGGGTGAGAGCGGGATGCCAGCCTCGTAGGGCGCTTGAACTCATGAAGTTTGGGAACCGGCGAATGCAGTTCCTCGGAGCAATTTCCATGAAAGTATTTATAGAACAGACAGAGGGAGGCGACGGTGCGTCTGTGAGAAAGTGACTGTAGACGAGACGCCAGGGTAGGGCCAACCATATTGCATATCCGCTTCTGGAGCCTATCAAGAACCCCGA